CATGAAAATTGAAGAAAACAAACACACTTTGAATAATGTTGATTCATACTAAAATTATTAACTGTTATTCTACCTAAAATTCACGTGTCTGATGCTAAAAAGACATGAATGTGTGTGTTGAACTATAATATTTATAATACCCACAAAACTAAAAAATTTAAAGGCATAGAAAAAAAATCAAATTTTAAATTAGCAATATACAGAATATATCTTAGCAGCAAAAAAGGCACATTAAAATTCTTTTGGTATAAGAAATAGTCTTTACACCACATGAGTGATTATTCACAATAATTTTTATATGGTGCCTACATCACCCTATTTTCGGTATCAATAATATATTATAAATCCATTTGCAAATATTACCATGCTTTAAACTATTTCTTAAAATTCAAAACAATAACTTCCAAGAACATGTGTTATTGTTGAATCACATTCTGTTAAACATAGCATCATAATTTGTACAACATAGCACACATATGCTGCTAAAAAAATGTCTTTGTTGAAATAAGCCTAAACTAAAACTGTATGCATGTTTAAACTTGTAATAGAATATAATAACATAACATAAACTAATACCTGTTGGTTGAGTATGTAGCGTCAAATGAAATAACGTCGCCGAAAGAGGCATAGTTCTTTCTTGAAATTGGATCAGCCCAAAATAATCGCGTCAATTTATCTTCTTTGTCAACATCATACTCAAAGAAAAAGGCCGAACATAGTTCCCGCTTCCTAAATAATTTTCCTAACACCATCTGGGCATCAACCCCTATAGCATAAGCTTTCAAATCTCTTGAAAAATTTTTAAAATCAACGCTAGTGCATCCAACATTTGAATATCCACCCACGACTTCTTTAAATAACTTGTACGACTGCATAGGTCCAATATTTGCTCTGGCGCAGTTCAATATAAAATTTTGGTGACCGGCATCCATGTTTCTGCTCACTCCCATAAGATGTTTATGGTTTTGAGAAGCTAAAGGATGAGAATGGTACTCAACAAACTTATCAACAACGTACCCTTTTTGGCCAGCAAACTTCGTAATCAATTTAGCTTCACAGTTAATACGCTTCGAAACTCTTCTTCGTTTCTTTATGCTGCCACTATCTCCATCTGTATAGTCACGTGAATAGTTCTTCTCACCCTCCCTCGAGCATACGATATAGCTTCTAATTAAGAACCCGTCCGACGACTTTTTCTTAGTTGAACGACGAATATCAAATCCACACTCAGCGTATTGCCTATAAAATTCATAAGCATCATCCAAAACGCTGAAACGTTGCCCAATAAAGGGCTTCAATTCAGGTTTGCAATTTGGTACGAAACGCGGACGCTCATCGATGGACAATTCAACTCGAACATTGCCACTTCCAAGATCGCCTGTATTTCAGACACAACAGAAAATTCCCAGCATTGCATCAATTTAATTTTTGACACAGCGCCCACCAAATAAAATCTTCTTCAAGAAGGGAAATGAATTTTTTTACTAATCAAGCTATGCATGAGCGGTCAATTGAACCCGTACAAAAATTAAACAAAAACAATAGTAGTGAATTTTTGTAAATAAAAAATCATAAATAATGGAGATATGGAACTTACATGTTGATCCCATGTTTGAATTAATATTCAGGCGTTGATGATAAAAGTTCTACAAAGTGGTCCTTTTCCTGTAAATGAAAAGTTCTACAAAGTGATCCTTTTTCTGTGAATGAGTTAAAAATACGTAAATCAACTAAAGTGGATGATTGTGATAAAAAAAAGGAAGCTGAGTAATTCTTACCATTTGAACAAAATATCCAAATCATTTCCCTAATTAATAACAATGGTTTTGACAATAATAGACATACATAATTAATCATTATATTTTATAAAAATATATTAAATAATCATGACCGTTAATAATTATGTAATCAAAGGACAGGATGAGTTCTTAGTTCTTACACTAGGGGTGGGTTCTCATTTGAACCTCATCCTATATATATATATATTATATTCAGTGTAAATCTTCTTATTTTCTCTTAACAAATTTAGCATTGACTCAGGTAATATCTTTAATTAGGCTCATAATATTTTATATGGTTTTAAACATATTATTTAGATAATTTTTTACACATTTTATATATACATTTATATATACACATATACATATACATATGTTAAAATTAAATAGTTTTAGACATATTTTCTTTACAAAATAGTTTAGAAAAATATTAGGTGATTTCACATCTTTCAATAATAATATACTCCCTCCTATTTTTAATAAGTGTTGTTTTGAGAAGTTGCACAGCAATTAAGAATCTGTTTTTTTTTTTTTGCCAATAATAACCCTCATTAATGAGGATAAAGATGAATATTTTGAGAAAAGATGAAGAGTGAATATGAAAAGACGTAGTGTATTTATTAGCTAGATGAAGTTAATAATGGAAAAATATGTACAAAAGATCCAAAATGTCATTTATTTGGTTAATTGTTGATAAAGTCAAAATGACATTTAAAAAAAATAGGAGGTAGTATAAAATTCTAGATATGTTTACCTCCGTCATATAATATTTTAGGCGTTTCTAATATTTTAAACATACATTTTTGTAAATTTTTTTATACAAGATAATTTTATAATATTTACAAATTACAACTCATATACAATAAATTATATCATATATTAACTCCACATCTTTAATAATTATTAGTTAATATAATTTACACACTCTCTCTCTCTCTCTATATATATATAAAATAAGAATTATTATTTATTAAAAATAGTAAGTAAAAAAATCTGGAAATAATAATTACATTCTATTTTTAGAATGTTTCTTTATTTTTTTAATAAAAAGATTAGGCTGCATTTAATGCTACCATAAATCATGGAATTTGTTAAATTTGAATTTCAAATTTCAAAAAAACTTGCCTAATTGTACTTTAAATTTTTTTGGAAAATATTTAAATCCCAAAGATTGAAAAAAAAAAAAAATCATCTTTATCTTAGTAACAAATCTATAATGATATATGATATGACAAGAGCAACAAGTTAGATAAAGGAGTAATTTGAGTATTTGTCGGTAGATAAAAAAAATATTAACGAGATTAAAATCAATTACCTAATTAATTAGTATATGAATAATGAAGATAAATGATTGTTCATTTTTGTTTAATTAGATTTATGAAGAAAAATTTAAATTTTTGCCAATAAGATTGTGATGGATATCAAATAATATTATTAGAAACCTAACAATTAAAATAATATTATTACACATCTGATATTTTAATTTTTAACTATTTTAACTCATTATTTTATTATTTTATATCATATTAATTTTAATAATTATATTTTTATTTTATAGTTTTTCATCATTTGAAAAATTTTCAATAAAATAAAAGTTTTTGAAATTTCAAAATAAAATGTATTATATTCCCATGGAAGGAATAACAATTATTTCTTACAAAATGCTCCAAATTATGTATTTCATACTAAATTTGTTAGCATTTGCGAGATATAAAAAAATTCGTATAATATATTTCCGTGAAATTGGTAAAAAAAAAAAATAAGAATTAATGGATGGATCGGTACAAAATGTGATAAAAAGAGAGATATAATCAAAATCACTTGACATGCAATACATTATATATAGACAATGTTGATAGTAACAATATTAAACTAGTATACAAGACATATAGACAATATCTACTATGTAAATATTCTCTCATAAAGTTGATATTAGATTGTAATACTTATTATTTAATCAAATAATATTTTAGATACTTTTTTTACACATTCAATACTCACACACATAATATTTTAGATACTTAACATTTTTTAAGAATAATGTAGAATATTTTAGATATGTTTACATATGTTATTTTAGGTATTTTTAATACTTTAAACATACATGTTTTGTCTTCTTTTGTACATGATAATTTTATATTGTATAACAAAGCGATATACGTAAATTATATCACATTTTAATCTCAATATTTAATTTATTATTATTATTCAATGCTATTATATGTATCTTTAATTTATAATTATTATTTAATATTATTTTTTCGTGTATCGCACGGGCTACACACTAGTTATTGTTTAATACACAAGATATACTTAAATTATATATAGGGAGATGAGACGTATTAGAAAGTTTAAGGGTTTGGAATCCTTATAAATATGGACATGAAACCAAAATCCCAAACATTACACTATAATCTCAAGTTTTCGTGCCGCTCACGGTGCTCTGGCTGACTGGCTCTGCAAATCGGCTATCCCTCGCCCCACTTCAGTCCCAAACGTCCCTCTACTGCCCTCAAGTTCAGGTATTGATGGCTAAATCTTTGACTATTTGAATGTTTTTTCTTCACGGGTGGCTAAATTTGAGAAAGAGTTTGCAAAACACTTCTCCTATGGGAATAGTTGATTTTTAATGTAGGAGTCCAAAGTAGTTGTGAAAGGTTATTCATTATTTGAAAGGGGGATCTGCTGCTGTTGGTTGTTGGAAATTGCAGATATGGATATCGTCTCAAACACCACCAATCTAATTCCCGATAAAGAAGGTCAGCCACACGCTTCCTGCAATGAGAATTTGATGCTTGTGGTGCAGCATGTTTGCAATGGAACCCTCGACTGCTCAGTAATCTCAACCAAAGACAACTCTTTCAAAGTGTTGCAAGATGATGATGATGATGATAATCATCTTCCAAACGTGTCTCTACTCAAAGCTGACAAATACGATCACATTATGGCGAAGGCCAATTATGATGTTGTAGCGAGTTGCGACTCATGGATGCTGTTGACATGTAACAAAACAACCGGATCTCCATGGGACCTCCTGTGGGACCCCTCAACCGACGAGAGAAAATCCCTTCCGTGCTTTTCTTTGGCTTCTCCTCGTTTGACGAGCATATGGGCATACGGCTTTGGGTATGATCCAGAAGGGGGCTATAAGGTGGTCAGATGTCGCGCCAAATACCTTGCTACTCCCGAAGAGGAGGTCTACGCTGAGCTGTTGTCGCTTGCAAGTGGTTCATGTAGGGAAATTCCGTGTCCTTTTTACTTCTTCCTTGATGGTGATCCTTTTCAAGTACCATCTCTTCACATCAATGGCTTTTGTTATTGGTCAAATATGACTGGCATTATTTCGTTCGACTTTGCTAAGGAGGAGTTTAGCCCTGCTCTAATCCCTATGCCCAAGAGCGATAAGCTCTCCTGGGGAACTGCTTATCTTGTTGAGTTTGATGGGTCGCTTGCTGTAATTGTTTACGAGGATTCTAAATGGTTGAAGGAAAGAAACAGAGTTGCCGCTGCTGAGCCTTTTATTTTCGAGCTTTGGGTGTGGAAGGATCAGAAATGGTCTCAGATGTACACAAGGGAAGTCCCGGCTGCAGCCGATGTTTTAAGCGTAAAAGGCCTCTACAGGAAAGATAAACTGCTTCTTCAGAGCTGCTGTGGTGACCTACTGCTTTACGAGATTGAGGAGAAGAGATGGAAGAAACTCGGTATCCGTGACGAGGTTATGACTCTGAAGGTCTTCCCATATGTTGCCAACAAATTGAGATCCTCAATAAATCTCCCGTCTGGTGCCAGTAACGTGGTCGCTAGTGTTCCTGCTACTATTCGGGCACTCACCCGCAACTTGGAGCATAACAACAAGAACAATAATCTTATGCTTATGGTGCAATGTGTACTCAATTGGACCCGCAATTACTTTGTGCTGTCAACGGAAAACGAAAAGTTCAAAGTGGTGCAAGATGAGAACAGCCTTCCTAACTTGTCTCTACTCAAAGAGCAAAACTACGATCCTGTTTGTATGAATGCCAAGTATCACGTTCAAGGGAGTTGCAACACTTGGATGCTGTGGACATGTATCGAGAATCTCGCAAGTCCGGTGGCGCTTCTGTGGGACCCTAGGACCGACGTGCTCGTAACCCTTCCTTTTTTTGAGGCTGTGCCGCACGTGCCTTGCCCAATTTACACGGCCATGTGGGGTTACGGTATCGGGTGTGCATCGGGAGAATATAAGGTGGTCAGATGTCGTGTGTTTGAGTATTTTTCATTCCAACCGCGAAGCCCACGGGGAGCTGTTCTCGCTCGAAACTTGTTCGTGGAAGGAAATTCCGTATCCCCATGATCCCCAGCTCGAAGTCTTTCAGCATCCTTCGCTTCACATCAATGGCTTTTATTATTGGGTAGCAGTGCACGCCACCAAACGGTATCTTGCTGTTATTTCATTCGACTTTGGTAATGAGGAGTTTCCTCATGCTCTCATCCCTATGCCGGAGAGCAAAATGCTCAGGGACATCAAGTGCAACTTTGGCTGTGTTTCTCTTGCCGAGGTTCATGGGTCGCTGGCCGCTATTGTTTTTGATTACTATGGACAGATGGAGAAAAGTAAAGATATTGATTGTCCAGGGCAGAGAAAGAAGAGGAAGAACACTATTGAAGCCGAGCCGTTTATTTTCGAGATATGGGTATGGAATGAGGGCGTGTGGTCCCTTGAATCCACACACAGTGTCGTCATTCCTCATGCACATGCTGGTGTTGTTTATAGGAGAGTCGTGGGGCTCTACAAGGATGATAAAGCATTTCTTCAGGACTCAGGGGGTTACCTATGGCTTTATGACTGCGTAACGCAAGATTTGGAGCATTTCAGTTTCCGCATCTGTGATGATACTTGTGCTCTGGCAGTCTACCCTTATGTGTGACTGTGAGAGTGATCATACCACACATCTTACGGCTCTTGTTTCCCACAACTAAAAAAAACTTTATGTTTTTCGGTAGCAGTTACTTTACTTATAAATAGATGGAAATGATAATGTTTTATTTTTATGTATGCAATATGGGGTTCGTATCATAGATCGCCAAAATGTAATTACTTTGAAGAAAAAAAAATTATATATAAAATAAAAGCTAACAAACTAGATATTTAGAGAAGACTATGATTTCAGAATCGCTGATAAAATCAGATATCTTTAGGTTAATTTTCTATTTAGTGTTTAGGACATCCCTTCGAAGAACTGCCTAATAGTATTGTTTCGGGAGACAGTCCTGCCAACATTTCTGGTAGGTTATCAGGATTGGACAAGGAACTCACATTTGTATCTTAACTGTTGAGGGCAATGCCTACACATTATATATTCATTTTTATGATCCAAAAAACTGTAGCAAATGTAATAAAGAATTATGTGGGACCGGGCTTAAGACTTTGTAGTTGGAGCTAAAAAAGTGGGACAAATGAAGAATTCATGCAGAAGGGGTCCTAGTACCTACAAAATTAAATGTTTTCTTAGTTGGTGTTGTGGGGTTAAATTCACATTTCTCACATGGTAGGTTGACACGTTTTGTGTGTGCATCTTGGGGGTTCTTGTTCATGTTTTACTTACTAGTTTGGTCACGCCGTGCACGCACGGCGGACTCAAATTTAGTCTAAAAATACAGTGAAAATTTGTCATTAGTTGTAATGATTAGTGATGTTCATGTCCAATTTTTACACTGATTTTTAACAAAATAAGCTTTTATCATAAAAGGCCCATTACACATGTTTATAGGCAACTGTGCAGCTCTCTACATATATTATGCCTATTAAGTTAATATGGTCTCAAATGAATCAGTAGTGTTTGAGAAGAGGCGATGCATTTAAAGTTTTGGTATGCATTTAAAGTTTTGGTATGCAGTGAGAGTTTTAGTCTAAAATCCTCGTGTGAATGGCTGCAACACGGCAAGCCTTCTCAAAGGTGTTGGTCGTCATTTGTGCCTCCCGAACTACTCTCAAACAGCCCCAAGCTGAATCAAACGCTCCATTTATGCGCCCGGATTTCGATCCAACCTTTTCAACACCTGAACAATTTGGATGGAGAGTGTTAAAATCAATTTTTTTAAGTTATATCCAAATTCATATACCTCTATTTGTAAAAATCTTTCAAGCTTTGGTGAAAATAATTGATTGACAAATCTAGTCGCAAGTTTAGATTCAAATGTATGTATGGTAATTGTACAAATCTAGTCCATCTATCTAATGCACAAAATGGTTATACAAAGATTGAAGTCTGCCTACACAGTTGCCACAGGCTAGTTGCAAAATAAATCAATTTTACCATCATTTTGTTAATCAAAACTGTATATTACCATAGTTGGCATGACAATTAATAATTGCCTAAAAATAAAGGCAATAAGAGTACTTTTAGGTCCAAATTGAGTAGAATGTGATTTTGATTTTCATTAGCAGTATTACTACCGTTCAAATTTTACATAATAAATACATTCACCTTGAGTTCACTTAAAAACACCTAACTTTAAGCTAAAAAACTCAAAACATAAACCGATCCGTAATTTTCTTATGTTGCTGCTCCATAGTAGAAGTCGTGGCAAGAATCTCTCCCTCCAACCTGTTGATATTTACTAAAAGGCTCATATTGTGATAATCATCAAATCCTAGATTACTGAAAGAAACTTTATAACTGAAAGAGTTCAATTACCATATATCATTAGAAAGCAATCTTTTCTGATTTATCCAATGATTATATAACCTCACGTAATTTGATTCTCGGTTAATTGAGGAATCGACTAAATAGTAAATCTCAGTCTATAGACCCTCTGTAGATAAAAGAAATCTAAACAATTATCCAAGAACAACATACATTGAGTCCCACTTATACAATTCAGTTTCCAGCATAAAACATTACCAGACAACATACACAACACACAGAATGTATATGAATCAATAGACAAAACATAAGCAGGTAACTTTAAGCAACAATTTCAGTTTAGGATGCATGCGCACACACACGGATTTAAGTGACCTCACAACGCATAAACCAGTAGTGAAACTCAAAAGAGCAAAATCTTAAAACATTTCCATAAAAAAATCCATGTAAGGTATGTCCAGGTCCATCGACCCTCGAGAACATAAAACAAATCTAAACAATTATCCATGAATAACGCACATGGAGTCCCAATTTTAAAAATTGAACGACCAGACAACATAGAATGCATATGAATCGATCGAAAAAAAAACCATAAATTGCTACGTCAAGCAACAATTTCTGTTTGGGGGAGAAAAAAATTGTTTTTTACGAACCTTGAGAACTTGGGTTTCTTGTTGGGACAATAACGTTCACCTGAAACAAAACAAAAAAAAAAAACAATCTTCTTTTATCAAATCATATGAATGAAAACCTAAATCTAAATTTTGTAATCAGTCACGGTTGAAGATTCACTGGGGAAAATTCCAGTTTCAATTATGTTGCTTATAAAATAAAATTAAAAAAGGAGAAAAAAAGACATACTTTGTGCTTAGTTTTGTTCAAATTATTTAAATTTTGGTTACCTAGTAGGAATTTACCCATAGCGAGTCCGAGAAGAAACCGAGCTTCTCATCGTCAGAGTTTGCCGTCGTTGTTTCTGTTGAACCGGTGTCAGTCGTACTTTGCGGCAGTGGTGGACTGGCCTTCGTGCTCTTTGCTCGGTCGCGGCCGATTTCTTCATCCTTCTCTTCTTCTTCTCATACACCTTCTAATTTTTCAACTTCATCCTTTGAATCATGTATATGTATATGGAGAAGATGATGGAAAAATTGAGATCTCCAAAATAGGAGCCTATTTTCTTTAGCCTTTTTCCTTTCTCCGGTAGCCACTTTCTGTGCGTCATTAACCTTTTTTCTACCCGCCTTCCCCCGTCTTTAAAGCCTCATCATCTTTCTTCTTCTCCAACTCAGCTTTCGTTTTCTCCAAAAATACTTTTTCCCTCTATGATAACTCACCGGCCACTTCTAACCTCTTATTCTTAAGATCATCTCTGTTGTCAGTTTTACGGAGCCCTCTGTAAGCTTCCAAGAGGCATTTAACCATATATGCAAGAAAAGAAGCTTTCTGCTTAAGGCTGCAAAGGTTGGGAAAGAAGTAATTTTGTATACATTGCTCCACAGACTCCTCGGGTGGGTATTTACAATCCCTTCATGAGATTGCTTATGTGCTTTACGGCATTTCCCTCTTTGCAAAAATTTCGAACCTTATATCGGCCTCGTAAATAGAGGGATGAGTATGTTAGCAATGGTAGAATCTTCCGTATCGATATTAATCATTTTTACTATTTTCTTGTCATTTGTGACGCCCAGAGCAAAGAAGAGAACCCATATTGGGATTTCAGTTACGTAAAAGTAGACCGTGAGTATTTTGTCGGCTCCCAAGACTTTCTCGGTTTTGGAGGTTAATTTTATGTAGACTCGTTTTCTTTTTTCAACCGCACGATATGTGGCTGTCCAAGTTGGGTCTTTGGATATTGAAAGTCTTCTGAGGCATATTTGCTCCTGTGCAATGAATGTCTACAACGGTCGAGTATTGAGAGAAATATATATATAAATTATTTGGCATGGACACATTTTGGCCAGTCGGATAATTAATAAAGGCATGTATACATTTTGCCAGTCAGTGAAAAAAAAAACACTTGCCAATATTTTAAGATTGTGCAATGTATCTTCTTACCTTACTTGGGAAATTCAAGTTTTTAAATGAGTGAAAGAGAAATTTGCTAACAGAAGCAAACAGAAAAGGTAAAACAATAAGAAACAGGGAAAAGAAGATTTGCTTTAAGTAACTAATTTAATCAGCACTATTAGTCTATTACTAACAACATTGATGGCTCAGTTATTATTGAAAGAAAAAGAAAAAAAATAAGTACCTTCTCAGCACCCTTAATTATGAAATATCCCCCATGATCAAACTCGCAATCCTTTTTATCAGCTGAGCTCATCCTGCACAAATCCGACATCACCATGGCTGCACAAATCCGACATCACTATTGGCCTTCAGATAATACGAAAAGGGAGAGGGAAAAGTTATAGGTCTATTTAAGAGTTGCTTTGGCATGACTGATATAGAATTGCAGTGATGTATTAAAGGATATTGTTGGCAATGTATACTACGTGGCACCTAAAGTTTTACGCCAAAATAATGGTGGCGAAGCCGATATTTCGAGTGCTGGTGTGATTTTTGTATATTCTGCTACGTCATGTACCAACGCGGTGCAGCTGCGGAACTTGTTCTTAATCTTTTCAGGCTTCTAATACTTCTCCAAAAGCTTCAAATGCTTTCTTTTCAAGTGCAACAACCTAATATACATCAAGAACACCATCATAATTCTACAACTCCTTCGACATTGTTCTACTATACAAACGAACAAAAAACCCAACAACAGCAAATGATAAATAATAAATACCTGCCCCATCATTGGATCTTTCGCCTTGCACCACCATCACATCCTCTGCCATATCTCCAAGAATCTGCTCTCAATTACGAAAAAGGACATGTTTAGTGTTTTGAAGAGAACTACGGGGACAACTTACATTACCTTATTTCAGCTATACAAATTACTTAACTCTCTTTGCTCGAAGGCTCATCTTGGGGTTTCATAGCTGGGAAGAGCAGAACTTCCTGGACACAAAAAAATCAAGTAAATGTTGACAATAGAATTAAATATTGATAAGAAAATAAAATCAGAAATGATTCTGTGAGAATAAGTTAAGCTAATCTTTATGTTCTGTGAATTGCTCAGCAACATCACGAATCGATCGATATCCAATCCCCAACCTCCAGTTGGAGGCAACCATTTTTCCAAGAGGAGTACAAAATGTTTCGCCTAAAGCCATATCTTCATCATCAGCTGACAATTTTTCTATAATTATTCTCTAATTTATACAACACATATCAATAACAATCACAAGAATTGAATAAAAAAAACAAATACAGTAAAAAAACATCCACCGTTGTCCCCTATCAGGAGTTTGATCAGATTGGTACTTCGTTTTGTAAGTGTCGAGGTGGCGCTGACCAGTGCACCCACCACACCAGATGTCGCCTCCACCAATGACTCCATGTCTCCCGCCACGAAAGAACTACAACCTTTTGTTACACAGCACAAAGAAAAAGGAAATAAACAGAAAAAGTTAAGAACAAGATAAAATGAATTCTCACAATGGCTCCTCACCATATCAGATCACACATAATCAGTCAATCGAGCAAAGTGATCAGAGGACTAAAATCGAAAATGGAAAACTAAAAAAATACCCTCGTTTCGTTCTTGTGTATAACTGAGGTTTAGGATGGACAGATTCCGACAGCAGAGGTTGTTTCCGATCACCGCCCAACGTGGGTAGTCAAATGATCGCATTAGGATTTCAAATTTTCCTGAAAAAAAAAAACAAAAACAAAAAAAGAAATAGGGTAAATTTTTTTAATAATCAATGAATTCCATGACCGCAAATACCTAAATCAAAAGCTCAGAAGTAACCATTCTTGATTAACTCGATTAAAAAAAAAACAGAGTAAATGAAAATAAAAACCTCAAAAAACGAATCTCGCGGGAAGTAAATACTGTTCTTCAAACCCACAAAGCCAATCCCTATCCTCATAGCTTCACGAATTAAAAAATTGGTTCTTGAAAGTGCAACTGCTTAGGGTTCGAACAAGCGAGATAATTAGGCACTGCGGGGCTCCGATATCGTCGGCGCCGGGAGCCTGTGTAATTGTTGGTGTTGTAGGAGAGAAATTGGATTTCTGAGTTGTGACTCAGAGTGCGTGTGGGAGAGGATCTACTTTTCCAAGATTGCTTTTGGTCTTTGAGGTGATAGTTGCGTTTGAAAGGCGGTGACAGTTGCGTGTGAGAGGTGGTACGCAACAGTAAAGTCAACTTAGGGGGTAGTAATTAACTCTTTTATTTAAGGCGACAAAAATGAAACAAAAACAAAAGCGAACTCAATGGCAAAAATGTAAAAAAATCAGGAAGTTGTGGACACGTGTCGACCAGTGAGAGCACCGAAAATGGACACTTGTCAACACCACAAAAGGCCTCACTCCTTCATATATAGATAAGAGAGATATAATTTTGTTACACTATACATCATATGCGTTTATCTTGTGTCCTTGTTGACAAATAACATTCCTCGTTCAAGTGTGCTCGCTGGTAATATTTATGTTTTGGTCATTTATTCTGGGCAGCATATGCTTGTAACTTCATCTATTTCATTGATTGCAACAGAGATTATAAATGATTAGATGCAGACAAAAATCACTGTTGTGAAGTTCATGTGAGGGAGGACTAGAATCACTGGGAGCTCGAGTGGTTGCTAGTGGACCAGTAGTCTCAATTCCAGGCTAACTGAATTTAACTGAATTTAACTTTGTGAGGGAGGACTAGAACCTGCATTAACTGAATTTAACTTTGTGTAAGAATTTATTCTAACTAAAATTATTACATATGAATAATCAGTAATCTACTACTACAAAAAACCCTTGTTGGGAGACTCACCCACCACTGCCAGGTATGCGACCCGGGTTGACCAACAGATTAGTCGGGGCATAGCTTCGGATATCGTGGCGGGATACAAAAAAAAATAAAAAAATCTACCATTAAAATGAACTAATAACATCTTACTGTTATTGGGATGTGGAGTTAGACGATCTTAACCATGAAATTCATAGTCATTTTTTTTTCTTTTATTTTTTTTGGGTAACAGAGTGTTAGGGTGTAGATGAAATTTATGGAACCATTCATATAGTATTTATACTGATACATAACGTTTCAAGTTGCCTCATAATCACTACTTAATCGTCATGCAGAAATGACTGTTCGAATACGTGACTGATTGCCTAGTAAATACGAGTCATTATGCGACTGTTTTGCGTCAGAATAGATCGCAGGGTAATAATATTTTTGAAATGGTAAATTTAAATTCTGCGATTAAACTGCGTAAGAGATATATCAAAACTGTAATCCTCAGTACCGAATTTTTGTTTTTTTTACTAAAGTATGCGATATTTTCGGTGAAGAATCATATGCATAATCAATCGCATATTAAAATTTTTGAAATTTTATTTTATGTGATTAATAATAATAATAATAATAATAATAATAATAATAATGATGATGATGATGATGATGATGATGATGATGCAAGCTTTTATTCACTTTGAGACACCAACAGTTACTTTACTTTTACTTTTACACAGTTCCACATACATCCCCTTGGCCTATCCCAAAGAAACGACTGATTGGAGCGTGAGTGATTGCCTCATAAAATTCAAGTCATTAATTATGCGACTGTTTTGAGTCAGAAAAGATCGCAGAGTAATAAAATTTTGAAATGGTAAATTCAGATTCAGTGATTAAACTGCGTTAGAGATACATCAGAACTATGATCCTTAGTACCATTGTTTTTTTTTCCTAAATATGGTATTTAGTAGGCGAAGAATCAGACGCATAATTATTATTTAATACACAAAAATTGAAGTTTTTCTTCAGTTTGAGACGCAACCGGTTATTTTATTTTTATTTTTACCTGATTCACATATATCCCCAATCCCAAAGAAATGACCTTTCGAAGACGTGAGTGATTGCCTCTTAAAATGCGAGTCATTAATTATGCATTGTTTTGCGTCAGAATAGATCACAGAGTAATAATAATTTTGAAATAGTAAATTCAAATCATGCGATTAATTAGTACCATTTTTTTTTACCAATTTATGAGATATATATTAGGTGAAGAATAAGACGCCAACGATTACTTTACTTTTACTTTTTACTCTGTTACACAAACATATCCAATCCCAAAGAACAAAACAAAGAAAGAAGAAACGCGAAAAGTTACCCTTCAATCTTGCGACAATACTCCGTATAGTTGGAACTAAAAGAACTGAAAGCGACGTCATGGCATATGAATTTGCTGAAGACTTCTGATATGGGATAACATATCTAAAGGAGTAAACCGGCCGAATGAACCAACCTAGCGAACCGAACCGTCCTGGTCGAGCAGATACCGAAAGGGTGGTTGTGGTCGAACATCACAAGAACAAGAGACTCTAGATAGGAAGAGCCTGAAGAGGGATTCCAGTGCAGGAAAAACAGGTGGATCCCAGACCCGTGGAGGGTCTGGTCGAAGATCGACCTGTCGTACAACTGGTCGTTCGCTCGACCATTTCCTAGACTTGGAGCAATTAGTGTATTGACATAGAGTTGGTCGAGCATAAGAGCCTTCGGGGAAATCTCAAAGGAACCAAGCCCCATGTGCGGAGGACACGTGGAGTTACCTGATAGGTTCATTATGTATAACCGTCTCTGACACACACACACTATGTGTTGTATGAACGGGCAGGCCGAGCAGTTTTGGGCAGCCAACTCAGCTTATCTGGGCAGCCATCTAAAAGCAGGTACCCTACCCTTATATATAGGGGTAGGCTTTACGATTTGAGCACAATTTTATCCATTTTTACTTTTGAAAATTGAGTAGAGCGTGAGACTGACTTAAGCATCGGAGACTTTTCATCGAAAAATCACTCCGGTGTGAGAGTTTTTACAGGTACTCGGCGTTTTACCGGCGAGAAGGAGGAAGGCGAGCCTACCAATCTCAATATTTATTTTATATATACTATCATCTCAATATATATTATATATATTTTATATATTTAATGTAAATCTTCTTATCTTCTCTCAACAATTTAGCATTGACTCAAATAATATCTTTAATTAGGCTCATAATATTTTATATGGTTCTATACATATTTTTTAGATAATTTTTTACACATTCTATATACACATTTATATATACACATATACATATACATATGTTAAATTTAAATATTTTTAGACATGTTTTCTTGAAGAATTAATTTAGAAATATTAGCCGACTTCACATCTCTATAAATAGTTTTAGACATATTTTCTTTAGAAAATAGTTTAGAAAGTTATTAGGCGTGTTCACATCTTTCAATAATAATATATAAAATTTTAGATATTCTTACCTCCGTTATATAATATTTTAGGCGTTTTTAATATTTTAAACATACATTTTTGTAAATTTTTTTATACAAGATAATTTTATAATGTTTACAAATTACAACTCATATACGATAAATTATATCACATATTAGCTCCACATCTTTAATAATTATTAGTTAATATAATTTACAATTATTATTTAATATTGTTAACAGTGATATACACTAGTTAAATTATATATAGGGATTTATATATATATATATATATATAATAAGAATTACCGTTTATAAAAAAAATAGTAAGTCAATCCTTGGTCAAAACTAATCAACATTAATTACATGCCATTTGTAGTATCTTTTTAATATATTTTTTTACTACAAAATGGACAGCATTAAATGTTGTCCTTAAAACGAGGACAGAGGAGTTTGTTACTTTTTTATTTTAAAAAAAGTAGGTTTCTGTTTAAATTTGGTCTATTGAATATTTCCGATGGTTTGACAGGATGTGCATATCAAAAGCTGATAATGCACGGGCTGCATCAATTAAATTTGGTTATTAGTTACAATAAGCTATTTTTAAATTTGCATAAAAATGTACGTCACGACTGCTAATTCAATTAAATATGCGCCAATTATATTCTCCAAATTTAAAACCAGATATTCGGATAATACAATTGCTTTGCTTGGCAGTTTTTTTAATAAAAAAATACGACTGATGTAATAATAAAAAAAATATGTGTTATTTTTTCTAACCTTAAAAAATATGCTTTTTTAGGTTTTATATAATATTTCGTTTGCCGATCCCCTTTTCCCTGCAGTTTTGCGCCGATCTCTTTTTCCCTACAACCCTAGCCTCTCAATTCGCCGATCAAATCTCCCTCGCCGGTCGTTTGGGTCCATCGGTGGGCGTCCTCCGTCGCTCGTCCATGGAGATGCAGCTTTCTCCCCTTTTGCTATTCCTCTTCTGGCTCCGCGTTTCGGCCAACGGTGTCGGTTCTCCTTCCATGTGGGCCGCCGGAGAGCAGGTTCAGAAGGCGAGGGGCGGGATATGGTGCTGGTCCATGGACGAGGTCGGGCTAGCTGCACTCGGTTTCAACTGGGCTGCTAGGACGCTGTTTCCCCTCTTTTTCGCACTTCTCGTCACCGGTTGGGACTGCGCCTTTTCGCCGGCGAAGCGACGATTGGTGGTGGCCTCCTCCTGTTTCGACACTCGCTGTGTCAATTGGAGGTATGCCCTCGATTTTGCTGCTTTTGTCTCGGTATTCTATTTTGTCCGTAATCGGCGGGCTTCTTGGCGAGGAGGATTTGGGGGTTCACGGTTGGTGGTCGTAGTCACTGCCGGAGCCAGGTTGTTGCTTCCGGTTAGTGCTCGGTTGATTGACTGTGTTCAGCTGCCTCGGGCTGGGTTGAGGCGTGATTGCTGCTTCTCGTGACTGGAGCGCGGGCCAGCTCTTCGGTTGGTCCTGGGGTGCGGGTTTCGTCTTGCTAGGCCTTCTGCAGTGGCGGGCGGTTACTTCCGTGCTTCGGAGCTATAAGTGGAGTTGGTTTGTCTGCCGTAAATCTAGATGTATTTTGGCGGGGGAGGCTGCGTCCTCTATCTTGTTTTCGTTTATTTAGTTAATTGCTAGTCCGTGTCTCT